AAATTCAAACTTGAGAAAGAACATTCTCTCTCACGAGCTCAATCTCTCAACATGCCATGTACTATATGATGACACTCGATTTGTGATTTTACAGTAGAGTACCTGACACTACAAAACATGTCTGGTACCTCTATATATGCATTTAGATTAACATTTTACTTATTCAATTGGGTGTACAACCCATTCATAAAAATCGGCGGGAAATCCTGTGAGGGGTGAGCTATTTTTTGTGCAGAATGTGTAAAAAGGAGGGATTTCGAATATTAATCTAAATGCATATATAGAGGTACCAGACATGTTTTCCACTGCACTGTCCCCTGTGAATAATTAATGGAGACCAGTTTATGAGTAGTTTCCGATAGATTTCACCGCAAAAAACAGCAGTGACATCTGATGGAACATGAATACAGAAGCTTGACAAAATAATTAATTCTCGCACGATAGTCTATTCACTTCCGTGTCTACTTTGGAAAAAGCCTCGATTTTCGCTTCAGACCCAGTAGCTTGCCGTTCTTTTTTTATTCTCCTTTTTTTTGTTCCTCTCTTTCCTTTAATCCTATATCCACCCACGACAATCCAATAACTGTCCCCTGCAGCAATTTAAACGTGTTCTTGTGTGTACTAAATAGGTATTTTAACAAACTTTATTTTTGCTTTTATTAAACATTTACAACATTTTAACTTGAAGAGTGTGTATGCAACTTTATATTACTAGCTAGATTTTTATATTAACTTTCATATTTATTTTTCGCCATATACAAATAACAACTAGGCAAAAAACAATTATTCGTTGAACTCCGTACCGTTCACAAACTTTTGTCGATTGCGACCCACTTTGAGGAATTGATGTTGTAAGGCCAAAATTACCTTAAAAACTCAAAAATGAATACAATACTCCAAAAACACAACTGCATGATTGCCTAAATCCCAAAACCCTATGGCATTAAAAGAGTATAAAAAACCAAGACAGCATAAAAATCCAAACAAGCTGTGCTAAACACGAATGCTAAATCAGTCCATTAATGTACGAAAATGATCGCAAATGTCTGAGAGATACATCAAAACGAATGGAGTTGTATTAAATCGAGAAAGTAGTATTAAACCTAAATAAGGTGACCCAAAACAATGAAATGGTAAAACAACGACTCCGCGCTAAGTTGTAAAGCTAAGTAAGGACATTAGAAGGCTACAAATGACGAATAATTGAACAAATGGCTTTTAAAATTGTCAATACGTTGATATCAACACTCTGAACGACAACTCTTATTATTATCTTGAAAACTAAAAATCTCATAATAATATTGAAACGCCAAAAATGGAATATTAGAGCTGACTCTCGAGCTGACTTTAGAAAGCCAATCCAAAATTATATGATGGAATAGTGTTGAAAATACCAAAATAATCAAATAATCACAATAGAAGGCATTGAAAATCTCTTATTGATTTTGAAACAGGTTGTCATTGTAACTCAATAAAGAGTGTACCGTTTAAATCCGCACACACAAAATTCATTCTCAAAATTCGAGTTTTTATCCAATTATAGCTTTGACTTTGACATCATTAATTTAATTTATTTCGTCTTTATATCCGAATGCACGAACCTTGGCCTTAACCCCAGCCATAAGGCTCTGCACGACCTCAGAATCGACAGTTTTTTGCATAATAACCCATGCTTTCTTCATTTCTTCTATATTCTTCACCACTTAGGCCGTTTTAGAAGATGTTCCTTCATAATTGCCCAGTATTTTTCTATTGGGCGCAGTTCCAGCAACAATCAATACGAAATTAACGATTTTAAATTGGCTCACTACTTGACTAGCCTATTGGTCCCAAACAAATCGACTAACGTAGCCCATTCTAGTATAAATTCCAGTACTATACTATGTTTGATTCACTATGAAAGTTTGACAGATAAAATGAGGAGTTAGTGGATTTTTCTATGTTTCGAGGGGTGAATCGATTAGCTTGGGACCGAAGATAGTACCAGAGCTGAGCCAAAAAGTTGAGCTCGTTTCTTCGGGATCTTCTTGTCTTAGAGTTACCTCTATGGTTCCAGCGTGTTTAGGGGGTTCAGATCTTCCGGCACAAAATCGACATCATTCGCCTTATACTACTCTAGCATATCCTTCGTGTAGTGGCATGATGCCAAAACCGGCCAGCAGATCGTCTTACCGCCGTGAGCCTTTAGGAGAGGGAGAAGCCGCTTTTGGAGACATTCTTCCAAATACACCTGTCCATTCATGATGCTTGCAGTAACGAAAGATGTACTCCGCTTTCCGCAAGTACAAATCGCTTGCCAAATTAAGAACTTCTTTGTGAACTTCGACATCTTATGTGTCCGGAGGTTCTCGGGAACATCACACTTATCCTTGGCAGATTACAGGTTTCCTGGAATCTGGTTGAAGTCCGCCTTCACATATGTCTCGTCATCCATTACGCATTAGCGGTGCCGGTGGTGTAGTGGTAAGCGTGATTGCCTCTCACCCCAGCAGGCCTGGGTTCAATCCCAGTCGGCGCCGCCGGGATGTTCTGAGGCATAACATCTCTGATCACGGAAGGGAAGTAAAGCCGTTGGTCCCCGGTTCATGAGTTGATGGGTCGATAGGTAGGATCCAGGTGTAGGAGCTGCCTTCCTGGCGTTGGTATCATTGGTGCTCAGCACGGAAAACAAGATCGACGGAAAACAAATCAAGGAAAAAAATCCATTACGCAGCAGTGTGGTTTTATTAACTTCTGGGCGTACAACTTCCGGGCACGGCTTTTTGCGACCGTATTCTGTTTCTCGTCACGGTTTGGGGACTTTTTAACCTTAATCGTACGTAGTTCAGCTCGAGTTTTGGTATTCTGCACGAAAGTCTTGCCCACATGCAACTTTTTAGCTTCATCTCGAACTGAAGCGTTCGGTTTCCGTTTAAAGGCCCCAACCACGCGTTTGTGATCGTTTTCGTTGAACTGACGGCTTTTTTCGCTTCCGATCAACAGTCAGACGTTCTTCGAACCGTTTTATGATACCAGACATCGTGGAATTCGCGATTCCCAACTTTTTTCCGATGGCACGATGCGACAGATCCTTATTCTCAAAGTATCCGTGCCAATCCTTTTTCGTGCACGCACTGGCCTTTCGTCGCCATTTTGAAAACTGTTGCGCACCTGATGGAATCAACTCACAGAGTGTAATTTTACCCAACGGATCAAAAGTTAGAGCAATTTGAGTGTGTGCGGATTTTAAACGGTACACCCTTTATGGAGTATCTCAGCAAAATTTTAAATTCAGTTTGAATTAAATTTAAAAATATATGCCCAATTTGACTGAATTTCTGCGACCCATAGATTGAGAAACGCTGCTGTAGAGTGACCGTGGTATTACACCTACTAGTTTTATTCGACACACTAAGATTTTTTTTTGCCGAGCACCACCGACCAGCTCGGCATTTTATGTTGCAGGATCTCAGTGAAAAACTTGTTCGTTATTTTATAAATTGCTGTTATGGCTCGAGTGACATTTGCCTTTTTTATACGTATACTGAGGATTCATATGTCTAAAAATATCATCTATCAATGATACAGTCATCGGTCGTCATTGAAAAGCAACGCAACTACACGAAACGAAAATCAATTATTTTATTCATGTGTTTCACTTATACATTTTTGCCAAAACATCTGCCTTATACATTCCATAAGACAAACCACATAGGTCCTATAAGAATGCATAAAAGGTATGTGTGACCGCTTATACATTTCATTTGACACATGATCTTCATAAACTTTTTGCAAGGCGTCTGCTTATTAGTTGACTTATACATTTTATGAATAATCAGCAATAGAAATTTGCCAAAAGGTATAAGGAGATTTCTATCCGTGTATGTTTTGTCAATCTAATTGAAACTTGTATTGGCTCTGTTGTCTTGTAAATTTTAGCTATAACGGCCTCTTTTCTGATTTGTATCTCTCAATCTATGGAATCTACACGAAAACTATGTTTGAACGGAATTTATAGAACAGCATAAGAAACATTATGCCGTAGACTACACATTTTTATATCATATGGGTGGAAAGTTCGTAGAACAAATACTTTAAAATTCTTCACTCTTTAAGAAGATATCTTCGAGCATGAAACTAAGTCAAACTTCAATAAAATCACTTTGAATAGTCAACCTTTGGTGACAAAGTTGGTAGATAACACATTAAGCTTTGCTATGAAAGTTTTTACAGCCGTTTTCGTCGTTTCAGTCTCGAGATACAAATATTATAAGCCGTAAATTACCTTAAAAACATAAAATGCAAACTCAGTGATGATTTAGAGGTGCTTCAACCTCTAAATCATCACCGATTTTACATTTTGTTGAAAATTTGCACAAAAGTTCAAATTAACATGACGAACAGTAATCACGGTTGACCCGGTGCATCCCGAACATTTCTGTTGAAATGAACAGGTCTACTCTACATACTTTAAATGTTTGATTTGTATGGTTGAAATGAGTACAAATAGGTGAAACATATTATAATCGATTTTCATATTATCGTCCAACTCTTCCCCACTGTGCAAAATGTGGAATCCCATTATTTTTTGCAGAATTCAAAATCTTGCAAATTATTTCACATTTAACAAGTTTTCCTTTCTTTTCTCGATCGATGGTCGGGAGATGTTATACTTATGCATTTCATTGCTATTTAATTATAAATTTCAAAAGGCAAAACAATGATGTTCAGATCGAAATAGTCTGGCTAATAAAGGTAACAAGGTATGGGATTCTTAATTGTATTCGCCTGAGTGTCAGTGTACAACGCAATGTTATCTATCTGTAAGTAAGATTAGGTAAATCACAGCTATTAGATTTGCCTGTTTGGCAACCCTAGCGTTTTATGCTATAATCCCACCATGCCATGTGCGAGTGCGATATATCGTGGCTGCCGCCGCCGGTAGCTGCTGAGCCGTATGTCTTTTCTCGGTTCTGTCTGACGACTTTTGCCGAACGGGCGGCGGCTGATATAAATTCTACCCGAAGCGCATCCGAGCAGTGTATTCCAGTGTGACCGGTGGTTCTTTACAGTCAGTAGTGGTTTGTGCGGTGCTCACTTTTTGTTCCAAATTTTGAAACAACATACTCTATATCCTCAACAATGGCAGCCTGGGTAGGAAGGAAGTACAAGATGGAGAAGTCCGAAGGATTCGATGACTACATGAAGGCCCTCGGTGAGTACTGTAGCTTTGTAGAACTTGGCTATTAGCAGTGCGGTGGTTTCGTGATTGGAATGTTGGTAATTGGGTCGATAGTGAATTTCAAATTGCGATGGTGGTGAATAATAATTAAAATCAATTACTACGGACTGCAATCTCAAGTCCCAGTAATGCTACACACTCACGCAGTTTCTAGCGGTGCCAACCCACCGGATATGTACTGTGAAGCACACCATTCTTTCACACCTTATGACCCACCAAATGCGAAAAAACCAATCCAATCGCATCGTACGATATACCGTCGACGCGTTGCGTTTGCGCCAAATGCCGGCCGGTTTTTTCGTCTTGTAGTTGTATATGCCTCATTGTATCCATTCCTTTCTTCATACTGCATTCTATTTATTCATCGCCAACAACTCCCATAGTGGTAGCGTGATCGTGGGGGATCTGGGTGTAATACGTGCCACGGGATAATATGTTCAACGGCCTTTTTCGAGTACCAATTGATATGCAAAGCTTTCCAAATGATAGTTTAGTAGTTCATCTGGTAATTCTGCGTGAAAAACTTTTGAATTAGTGTTGAAAAAGACAAAAACCAACGCTGTTGGTCATATTACCCCGTGACCTTACGCTATATTGTTAATCTCCAGAATACAATAAAACGCGTTCCGCACTGGAAAAGGTTGAAAATTGAACAATCTAAAGTGTGGCAAATTTTGGTGCGTCTTCTAGAATCATTAATTTTGCTCTTCCAATTGGATTGAAAAAGAACAGCACGCAATCAGTAAGGTGCTTACCACACCCCAATTCTACTCCGATTTTATCCACCGGATTGAAAATTTAAAAAAAAAACCTTCATAAGGATTCATGGCAGTAGGGCAATACAGAGAAGGGTCGTTGAACTCGAAACGTACGAGATAATCACCCCTATTCTGTATTTCGTTTCGAACGAAATTCTCATACAAAAAAATATTTTTTTGTATGAGAATTTCGTTCGAAACGAAATACAGAATAGGGGTGAATGTTACAAGAAGCTACTTATTCCCTCATCGCTCCGGCTTCATTCACACGATACGCGTTTGTAGACATGACACTGTTTGCTTCGTTGTTTCCTTCTGGACTGAACTTTCTCCCGTACACACGGACTTCGGTCGGTCGGTGGCGGTAGGGGAACTAGGTGTAATACGCGCCACCAGGTAATATGACCAACGACCTTATTGCTCGCACTATTCAAAGACCAATTAATATGAACAGCTTTCCAAATGGGTTCATCTAGCCATATTACCCCACCTTACCATAATTGAACAAGTACTAACCTAACTACAGCCGGTGGTGGTGGTAGTTTGCTGCCGCCACGAACGGAAGCATGTTTCAAGCAGCTTGAAGTGATGCCTAATGCAGTCGGACGTTATCCACACCACTGCTGCTGCGTCGATGCAACATATTATGACAGAGATGATAACGTACGGAAAATATGCTCCGATTAGATGCCGGGAACAGCGAGGAACACGTGTTCCATTTATAGTCAATTACTGAACTTTGACTTGGCTTGATTGGAATGGAAGCTTGCCGCGTGAGTGCAGTCATTCGCTGGATGCAAAGTTTGGTATATACGTATGTCGCATCAGATACGTGGCGTGTGTGATAAATATCTAGTGGTGTGCCGGTAATTAACCGAAAAATTGGCTTGAGACCAATTATCCGTAGTTATTACTTTTTCGTGCTGTTTTGTTTTTATATTTAATTTTCAAATTAATGTTTCTCTCCGTGCATGGAGTTAAGACAATATTCCACTATCAACGCACATACTCTCATGCAGTAACATCTTTATGCCATCCAGCAGTTTCTTGAAAGCCGAAACCAAACAAACATAGGATCATATTCGAATCTGATGAACATGACGAATGCATTGCATCGACTATAAAGTAAATATCTCGGGTGCATCGTTAAAAAGTCGCAAGGGTTGTGCTACATTACCCCGAGTTACATTCTAATGTTAAAATCAAAAACATGTTCTTGCTGAGTTTTCTTTTGGGAGTGGGGGTAAAACGGATAAGCGATGGGATAAAATGGGCATCCAATGGTAAAGATGGTAAAAGATTATTTGGTAGTGAAGCAGCTTAACGTGATGTCTTAGCTAGATAGTATTTTCAAAATGCACACAAAATATTTGCAAAAAACCTCAGCTAAACAAAAATGAAAACAATCCAGAATTATTGAGCCTAATTTTCGAGGATATTATGTATTACTCATGAATATCGTCTCCCATACACCTGTTCATTTTACCCCATCGGTCAGCATATTTTGTAAATGTTCGCAATTGGACATTCGTTGTATATCAGCTTTTAAACCTTGTGCTTGTAACATTCTTAAGTGCGACCTTGTATAAATCACATCAGAACGCATTTTGAGGACGGCATTACATGTTTTGTTTATGTTTGCATCACTGGAATGGTTTTAGAAAAACACTGATTGTCATGAAATAAAATAACAATAAGGGGAAAATGACCAAAACAGTGATAATTTACGTTTTCCCGATCAAACAAGTACCTATCTATTTTACCCCAACATCCCCTATAAATATAGCATTAAATCTTGTCTTTGAAAGTTGGTAGACACGGGAAAAAGTGTGGTTAAGTGACGCCACTTGACACTTATATCACATACCAACAGACATAACATTCGTAAGTTGCTCATCGAACACGCATTTAACGGTAAAAATCGAGGGGGCGACTCTATCTAAGATGCAGGAAAGTTTTTGCTTTGCTGTTGTGCACTTAATAGATAGAAACACGATTGATTGTGATTTTGAAGATTTCCTGCAAAAAGGTGGGGAACGGAGCGAGTAGATGGGTTTAGATGCAAGAGATGAAAAAAGATTTTTCGTAGATTGATTGTGAGATTTTTCGACCCTATAAAATCGAAATTTAGATGTGACGCACCCCTCAGTCAATATAAATGTTTCTTAGTTGGTAGTATCGCCACCAGTGGCGCTCGTATTCAATTGCCTTGTGTTTGACGTTTCCACACTATGCCCATATGTTGAGCGTACTGCCCATCACAGTGTACTCAATAGATGTCGGTAGTGTTGTAGCGACGATGTGACAGTGAGAAATATTAAATGTTTTATGTCTATTTGTCTGTGCTTCTATACTGCACTGAACATAACAAATAATACATTGTGGTTTTATCTATCATTTTGTTGTATTCTCCTTGAAAGTGCAAAGAACTGTTACTTTTCAAAATTTATCAGCATAATTTGTAACTTGATTGGCCAAGTCTGTGTGAAGTTAAGAAATTTTAGTAAATCACTTCATATTTGAATTCCATTCTACAATCTTTGATTTCATTAATCCGAAAAACATGTTTATGTGCGTAATGAGCATTTGCAACCTTGCCTGGAACAAAATGTTAACATGAATCTCAAATATCAATAATTTGTGATTCATTGCCAGCTTATCGAGTCTATCCGCAGGACCTGACATTCGCACACGTCATTCAATGGCACTCATCTTGGAACTACCTTGCTTGCTTATGTGAATGTGACAAATGTTTGTTGCACACACGGCCACTGAGATTAACTCACAGAGTCACTTGTACTCAGAGGTATGGAGAAATTTCTAAAATCTGAAGGAACTCAGCTGTGAGAGTTTTTAGAAATGAGAAATTCTCGGTGACCATGCACACAATAACACCTACACGGCACGAAAATGGCACGTTAAAACCATTGATTTTCATATAAAATTGCGCTATTGAAAAATACTATAAAAGTATATTTTCCAGGTGGCTACTGTTCTCCGAAACATGTGTCTTAAATGATGGTCATATGAACATTATTGACACACAACTTTCATTACATTTTTCAAAGCGATATCCTCATTGAACATCGAATTAAATTCCAAGGATTTCGGCAATGGTGATTACGTAAAGTTTTGTTTCGGTGTACCGAGTAAAGCATTAAATTTCTTTCATTTGATTTTTTCTTAAAATCATCAGCGAGACTGTTGCGGATTTTGCTAAGCAGAGATTTTCACCTTCGCTATTGTTTCTATTTATCTTGGCCTGCTACTCAAAGCATTTAGGATTTAGGCTGTGTCCAACAGAGCGCTTATACTATAGAGGACGAATGTCGCTAGTATTCCCTTTGTTCTGATGCGCAACTGTGTGTACCCAGCCCAGCCCATTTGAGAAAGCAAAAGATGTTTCGACAGCGCCATTCGTCCTCTATATAGTATAAGAGCTCTATTCTGTGTTGTATTTGCCTAGTTAAATTTAATCCGGAGTTAATGTAAAAATTAAGCAATAAGCAATGATTAAATTGGTTTGATGGTGATGGTGCTTTTTGTTCTGTCGCTGTCTTCTAAGGCTGTGCCCCATTTGGTGAATTTTCACTTAAATTTGACAGATGGGCCTTATTTCTTACAGACGGATTTTTTTAACTTTTGGTTAAAATTTGACACATAGAAAGTTATCGATTAATCCTGCTATCCGAGCGTAGTTATTTCTGACAGACAAGAAGTTAAATTTTGACAATCGTGGCTGAGTTCTGCTCGAAGATCGATTGATCGGTAACAGGGATTTTCGAACATAAGAAATAACTTTCGAAATGTCAATTTTAACCATGAGATAAATTTTACTCGGTAAATGGTTTGCAGCCTAAATCGGACAGAGGGATTTTCGAACATTTTAATTTATTTTCGAAGTGTCAAATTGAAGTGAAAATTCATCAAATGGAACACAGCATAAGTTCACGTTAGATTATTGATTGCGGCATGTTTTGACTTTCCCAGTTATACACAAACAATACAAACTTTATTACAATAACTTATTACATTAAAATGATCCGCATCTTGGCGCTAAAACAATGACTGATAAACTGACCTAATAACAATCTAAAATCTAGCAATATGTTGCTGCTCCCATGTTGCATCGCCTGAGTGACGGCTGTACTGTCACTAGTTAGCCCCAGCTGTTACTTCTGGATAGCGGTCCTCAATCAACTGACCAATGTTTACTTTTCAGTTCCAACCTGGATCGGGTAACAAAATTGGTGAATCAAAGCAAAGCCAAAACGGAGCATGCCACACCTAGTTTTTAGATCCGCAATTGACCACTTTGTCAAGCAGTTTTGGCGTAACTTTCTACAAGCAATTCCACAAAACTGGACCAACTAATTTCTATATTTTTATGAATCGCACAAATGATGGCTAGTATTCTCGTGGTTCTAGAAGAAAAAATCTCAAAACAATGTTTTATTTCAAAGATCGAGTTGTATTAAACGTCATTTTAACTGCTCGAATGAAGTGGTTAATTACAAAAATGATGTTGTATTAAAAAAAAATCAAACGGCGCCGGTGGTGTAGTGGTAAGCGTGATTACCTCTCACCCCAGCAGGCCTGGGTTCAATCCCAGTCGGCGCCGCCGGGATGTTCTGAGGCATAACATCTCTGATCACGCCTTCCTTCGGATGGGAAGTAAAGCCGTTGGTCCCCGGTTCATGAGTTGATGGGTCGATAGGTAGGGTCCAGGTGTGGGAGCTGCCTTCCTGGCACGTCGGTAGCATTGGTGCTCAGCACGGAAAACAAGATCGACGGAAAAAACAAACTAAAGGAAAAAATAAAAAAAATATCATGCGATTTGACAGATATCAAAACATCATTACCATTTTCACCCATTCGCTATCTGTGAGTCAATCGTTCTTTGATTATTCAATAATGTTTGCTTGTTTTCTGACAAACATTGAAACCTCGGGTAAAGCACTCTAGTTAAAGTATGGACGCCTGCCAAAAGCGAACTGTCAAAATGCGCGGCTTTGTTCGAGTATGTAGGGTGTTTTTCTGTTTATACTGCACCCTCGGTAGAGTTGACAATTTCACTTTTTTATCAAAACAATCACCGATCAGAGATGTCCCATTATTTAATGACTCGATTAATAACTAATCGATTATTGTTTGTTCGCTGTGCTGTCATTTTTTCCACCAATGAGAGTGCAGAACATCTTTGAAACGATTGGTGATGATTCTCTGAGATAGTTAATGCTTACTAGGCATAATATAACCTATTGAACTTAATTCATTTCAGTTCGTTAATCCATTAATCGAGTATTCGAATAAAAATCGGACACCACTAGATGAACGTGAAGCGTCATTTTGACATCCACCGTCAATTTAAAATATAAGGGCCGATCATAAATAACTATACAAATGTTTAAAGGACCGGGGATAATCGCAAATGACGTCCCCATGGCAACTGAAAAAAACACGAATATCGACCGGTTGCTTCCACTGGAGGGCTTTAGACTCGGGTCAAGTTTTACACTGACAAAAAGTTCGGATTCGCAAAAAAAAAATTATGCAAAATTTCGCTCCACAGTGCTCAAACGGTTCCGAAATTGGTTTTGTTTTGCCTCCCAAAATTTGAACTCATTTAGTAAGAAACTGACTTGGCACAAACGATTTGAAGTTTATATTACTATGGGAATACCAATTTTTTATCATACCTAGCTTGCAATCGACCATATCACTCTGCTTTAAAGACAACTGTTTCTCTGCTACAACTTTGTTGAAGACCACTTTTCGATAAAATGTTAGGAACAAAAATTATTAATGATTCAAGTCACTGATTTATTATGATTATCAATCATGGCATGCAAAATTCCCGTTTGTTAGCTGAAGCTCGGCAAGTTTTTCACTGAGATCCAGCAAAATAAAATGCCAAGCTGCTCGGTGGTGCCAATCTCGGCAAAAAATCTAAATGTTTATACCGAAAAGTGTCAGATTGTCCAAAAATGTCAAAAGTACGTGAGCTACGGTGCATCTATATGTGGTTGACAGCAAGGGGTGCGGTGCGACACATCTAAATCTCAATTTTAGGTTGTCAAAAAATATGATGCTAGCGAATCAACTCTAAAAAAAAATTATTTTTATCTTTTGCATCTAAATCGCATCGGTCTCCAACTTTTTGCAGGAAATCTTCAAAATCATTATCAATCGTATTCCTAACTATTAACCATGAGTACATCTCACAAAAGCAAAGCAAATTTTCCTGCATCTTAGATAGAGTCGCCCTCCTCGGTTGACTGGAATAGGGTCCCTCTGAAGAAAACTCGAAATTTATTCCTGGATTTTTACATTCATGCAGGCTTGACGTGATAAAATTTGTATTGAGATCGTTTTGTTAGGAAACGGCCACAGAAGAATTAATTCTGAAGTTTGACATTGGATCTCCTGGTGGTTTTCTGCTCATTCTAATTAAAGTGCTCTAGTAAAAGTATGGCCGACTATCACCACAAAACAGATCTAGATAGTGCTGGAATTTGGGCCTAACAGCTTTTGTAAACAATAACTTCTATCGATGATTTCTAGAAATTCAAGGCTTGCCCACGCAAACCAACATCCTCATCGGGTAGGAAAAGACTTCCCGTATCCGATGGTTATGTTGGTCTGCGTGAGCATGCCCTGAGGTCCTAGAAGAAATCATCGATAGAAGTCATTGTTTACAAAAGTTGTTACGCCCTAATTCCAGCTGTATCTAGAGATAAAAGTTGTTCCAATCGAGCAAAGCAGTGCATTTTGACGGTTCGTTTGGAACAACTTTTGACAGACGGCCATACTTTTACTTAGAGGACTTCCGCCAGGCTAAAATATTTCAACTAGAAATTTTGGCACGACTCTGAGTTAGGTTCTGCCACCACCAGTGGAACGAGCGTAGCTGCGGCTGATTCACGAACACATCTTTTAGTCGATTTTGGGGATTGGTTTCAGGAGATGTAAAACTATAGCTCTTCATCACTGGTTTCTGGGGATGTTACGCTAGAGCTGCATCTGCATCTTTTCAGCTTATTTGCTAATTTAGCGACGTTTAACGCACTCACACTTGCGGGTGCATCGCCGTGTAAAGCGAGGGGGGTGACTACCTACGATGCAGGAAAAATGTGTTTTGCTGTGGTTAGCTGCGCGCACGCTGTATAGATTGAAATCAGATTGATGACGATTCTGAAGATTTCCTACAAAAATATGATGCCCGATGCAAGTAGATGCGAGAAATGAAAGAAGATTTTTTTTTAAGATTGATTCGCTAGTGTGAGATTTGTTGAGCATCTAGAATTGAGATTAAGATGTGTCGCCCCCCTCGGTGTAAAGTTGTTTATTATTTTCCTCTGACTAACCTAAAAAATGTATAGAATTAGATCTATCAAAATGAGTTTGACCGCGATTTGTTATGCATTTTCCTCGGATTTTCATTAACATGCTCTCACATATATATTTGGGTTTGAAAATGTTGAGCAAACGGAACAAAAGTAAAGAGTTTGCCAAGTCTTTGACAAAGTACGGTGAGTTCAATTTGTGTCGGAATACTCAAAAGTGAGTATTTGTAGAGACAAAGAGAGTAGGAGTTATTCACTATGCTAAATCAATGTCACTCAGTTTTTATTATTTTGGATGGAAAACTGAGTAGAAGTTACTTAGAGTAGAATTTAGCAAGCGTGTGGAATTCTCTTAAAACTATACTTAGATTTTGTTTAATTTCTTCAGAATCTCCAGTGTTCCATACTCAAAGTTGCTTTGAAAAAATGCTCAACATTTTCTGCTAAACCTTCCCGGAAACTTCTTGAAATTCCTTAAAATTTCTTATGAATTCTCCTAAAATTCTGCATCAAATTTTATTTTGCTGAATTTCTCTTTGGTTCGATTAATCGATCGACATTTGAGAGATTTTTAAGTGAAGTTTCAGGATTGAAGTCATCATTAGAGGGTGACCGTTAGGTGAAGTTTCAGGGTTGTAGTCATATCATCATTAACAGTCACAAGCTTGCTTTTCGATAACGGGACAGTCGTCACAGAATTGACAAGCTTTTTGCAGGTTCAATATTATGAAAGTTAAGTTTGCCTTACGGCTAATTCACTTTGGATCCTCTTCCGAATTCATTTAGAATGCTCCTTTAAAATCTTTCCGATTTGCATTACAGTTCCCTAGAATTCCACTCAATTCCCGTAATAATCTCTTCAGGACAACTTAGAAATCACCTGTAGTTCTTCTTTAAATACTTCTCAAAATTGTCAGAAATTTGTAGTCAAATTCCATTGAAAAATCTACACAGAAATCCTTTATAATTATCCCTAAAATTTATCTACAATTCTCCTCAACAAATTTGGCATTTTATCTTAATTCTCTAGCCAATGCTTCGAAGTGGCAGGATCCTAAAATATTTTCCTCGCAAAGTTCAAGAATGTAAAATATCTACATTATGGTAATTATGAAACTTGGAATTTTTCGAAAGATTCACATGGATCATGAAACACACACCAACATACACATGTCCCGATCTCCTGCAACCTAAGTCGATTGGTATATGGCACAGAATGTCGGCTTCGAAAAACTTGTGCTGCCTTGAATTTTCTACATTGAACTGAATTTATGTACAGGAACTTCATTGTCCTCAATCCTACGAGATGAGGTGAACCAGATTTTGAATCTGGAATTTCGTGCTCCAATAATAACTCCCTGTTTACCAAGATAACATAGTACTATTGCGACACTGATTGTCGGTGGTTGTTTAATCCTATGGAGTCTTAGCCCTCTGGATATTGGATAACACATGGCTCCTGACAACAGAAACAAGAAACCAGTGTTATCTTGTTATCTAGTGCCTTAAGCTTCAGTTTCTCACATGTTGGAATGCGAAGAAAAATCAACACGCGAGCAACAACAAGAGTCTTAGCGGCTTATATTTCACATTGAACTTGTTGTTCTTCCGTAATGTTTTTCTTGTTTCTTTCCAGTAATCAAATGCGCTTAGCCGTTTAGGAACCGATAAGATTTTCTCCGAAATTCAATCGCCGCTGTGTTTTGGATAGAGATAACATTGAAGCGTAATATTTGAAGTTCAAAACAAGAAGTGTCGAACCTTATCTCGACAACCGTGTGATATCGATGCGGTTAGCTCTTGGCGTACGAAGTTCCAAGCTCGGTAACAAATCACTCCGGTAGCAGCCAAACGCTTATCGATGATTAGTTTACCCAAATCGTTCTGTAAATAGATCCCAGGAAAAGCCTTATCTGGCCTGGGGTTAATCAATTATGTAACCGTAAACCTCACCGTCACCTCATGTCAGCATGGAATAATTGTTTGTTCAATCAGGGAGCACCTTGTTCCATTTAGAATCCACGAACGCAACGAACACTCTTGTTGCACCCACGTCCGTGCGTCATCGTGCGATGAGCTCTGGATGGAAATTGGTAGTGAAAGAAGCGGAAATCCGCATTAATAGAAACTCTTCGTTCGACAAGAGAAGTTCAAGCACCTTATAACCATCCAAGATAGAACGAAGCATTATAGCCTCTTCCTCTTGTAAATTTATACTCCATGAATGCATATGCTAATCGGCACTTGTCGCTTCTGATAAAGTTGAAGGAAGGAAAACGACAAAAAAAAACCGGCGACAGACAGACGACGCGGCGACTCTTCCCAGGCTTTGACACAATTGATCAATTGTAATTTAAATTAATCGAATTCTGTTGCCGGGGTCGTCGGAATTCTCTGATCTGGATTATAATGGATTCTTGATTCAATTAACGAGCGCGAATGCCTGCTCGTGAATTGTCGTGGGGCACCTCGCTGATCGAATTAACCTTTGCTACAATATCTCCCATACGAATGATGTCCGGCGTGAAATCTGGGTCTATTCTGGATGAATTTAGTGATTTAGTATTTGTCCGATTTGTCCTACCGTATGTAGAATGAGCTTCTTAGTTGATAAAGAAAGTGTTCACAAAATTTCCGGTAACAAGCGATAAATATGAACTTTTTGCATCGATAGAATCTCATAAGGTAAGGGTGTTTTATTATGTTCACTAATTACTCAGAATCTATACTATACATAAATAATTGAAGATGATACATTGTTATTTTTTTTCAAATGTTACAAACGAGACTCCTTTAGCTCAGTTGGTAAAGGCGCAGCTACAAAGCAAGTCCATGCTGGAGGCGACTGAGTTCGATTCCCGTCCAGTCTATTAATTTTTCGGGTTGGAAAATTTCTCTACTTCCTTGGGCATAGGATAGTACAGACATAGAAAACTCTCAATTAAAATGTGAAAGTACTTCAAAGAACACTAAGTTGAGAGCAGGCAAAAATCTAATATGCTTGAAATGCCATGTAGTAGTATACAAATGGTATTTTTAGGCAATGAAAACAGATTTTTTTTGTCGCGGCTTAGTATTTGAAGTCGCGGATTTCTTTTGAGAAATCGCGGATCAAATTTAGAAAATCATGCAACAACCCTGCACTTGTGATCGTCTCAACAGGTCTGAACGAATTTCAATAATGTAACTCGTATGTATTTTTATTTAAATCCAAACATTTGCAATTGACGCAAAGATTGGACTGTGTTCGCTCTCTGATCGGTAACAATAATTTACTGAAATTGTATAAATCAACAATGCGCTCACACTTACATAAATGATACTTCTCGACCGCTCCAATTGCCAATCATTCTTATCACCTGTTTAACATTTTACCCTATATGCGATAAGCGCCAATTTAAACAATCCAAACTCAAACAATCTTTCTCTTTGCTGCTCTCGTTATCATCCCCCAAACGCAGGTGTCGGTTTGGTGCTCCGCAAGCTCGGCAACAGCATCTCCCCAACGGTCGAACTAGTCAAGGAGGGCGATGAGTATACCTTCAACACCACGTCGACCTTCAAGAACACCACCATCAAGTTCAAGCTCGGCGAGGAATTCGAAGAGGAAACTGTCGACGGACGCAAGGTCAAGTCTGTGTGCACCCTCGAGGGCAACAACAAGCTGGTCCATGAGCAGAAGGGCGAAAAACCAACCACCATCATTCGTGAGTTCACCGAGACAGACCTGACTGCCACCATGACCGCTGGAAGTGCCAAGTGCGTCCGATACTACAAGGTCGCATAAGCCGCATCTCGCTCGCCCATCATCACCCTTGTGAACGAAGCAGCGTCCTTTCTTCGACTACTCCAGTCTTTCTAAAACCGAAACGCCATCTTCCATACTCGACAACATCACAAACAACATCGGACCAACCTAGTCATCATTCCTAGAATGGAACCCAGCAGCTCGCGCAGACCGTTTCGATCTGTGACCGGAACGGTGTGGTGACAGCATGGTTCTCTTTTCCATCACAGTATCTGACGGGTGCAGACATGTCTTGTCAACCGACACAAATCAAGCGGACGCACGCTTTTCATATATTGCATTTAGTGAACGAAGTGAACAAATTCAATTTTTGTTTTTTTTTTTGGCTGTTTTGTTTAATTTTTTTTTCTCTACTGAACCATTGTTGAACCGAAACGAAATATCTATTTTCGGATATTATTTTTAGCATAGTAGTGCAAGGAGCATGTTGTATGAACGATGAACAAAAAGTAAAGTATATAACCACATTTTTTCAGTTGTTTTATTTTCATTTTCACAGTTTCCTTGGTTACCTAGTGAAATTACGACGACGAGCCGCAATCTATTGCGGCGAGTATTCTACAGCGTACAAATTCCTAGTATAAGCGCAAATAAACTAATTTACCTAGAATCTATTCACTCTGCTCGTTTATTCCGAACGAGCTATTTTTCCAAAGATTGAGACTTTTGAGGTCTTAGCAAACTGCCCTCCATCTCCTCCTCTTACTCAACAGGGGATTTTTTATATTATCGGACAAGTTTGAGCCCACGGTGTATAAAGAAAAAAATCTTACACGGAAAAAAGTTTCCATTGGGAATGCACATAATATTTTTCCATCAACAAAACCAATGATACCTATCTGAATTTCACATAACATTCATGTGATCACATGAGTTCTATATGATAAATCACTTAAATTTCATTTGACATTTATGACATGAAAGTTATGTGAAATTTTAATAAATATTTTCCATTGGATATGTGAACTATCATTTACATATATCAGTTGGGCAACTAGGGACACCCTCTATATTTACCAAAATATCAACTTTTTTTTTCAATTTTGTTGCAACAGATATTTTGGGGGTTATTCCGAGAGTCGAAGTGACTTTTGTCACTAGTGAAGTGAGAAAAGTCACGTCGTGCTGACGTGACTCTCTGTACAAATCAAATGAAGAGTTACGTCACTACGACGTGTCTATTCTCACTTCACTACTCAAGTAACATTGCAAGTTTTATGGAGGTTTTAAAGCATGCTACAAGTCTAAATCATGGTCTACAGAACCCTTATAAAACCGAAATTGTTACTTGGGTAGTGACAAAAGTCACTTCGACTCTCGGAATAACACCCTTCATTTCTCGTCTGAATGAGTAGTTTAACGAGTGAACTAATTTCAATATGTTTCATTCAAAGTGTTTTTTTTTTTTTTTTTTGTTACTTCATACGCGAAGTTAACGATTTTCAGAGTTGGTTGGAAATGCTAACATGAAGCTTTAGTGTGATGATTTATTAGCTAGAGAATGATTTTTAGAAGAGGGTAGGTGGATAGTTCCGTTAGAGTACGGCAGTATGAAAATTGAATAGAAGTTGAAAATGAGCGAAGGGCCATTAATTCGACAGTTTTCAAAGATAGACGCACATTTTTGCCTAAGCCGTACGATGTACGCGGGGACTTGAAGTATGTCTCCAACTCCACAGGCAAAAATGTGCGTCCCTCTTTTTGCTCATACACTGACTGCGGCTGTGGAATAGTTCTAGCGACGTTTTCATCACTACCTAAAGCCCCACGATGCGAGAGCATTTCCAGTCGATGGTGTGTTATAATGCAGTTCTTCTTTACCCAACTATTGTGTTGCTCCTCTCGTCATGACCAACGTGATCATCTCAGAGAGAAAGCAGTAGGGTGGTTCCTAATGTGAAGAGAGAAAGCAGTAGGGTGTTCCTAATCACAAGGTTGCAAAGACTCATTTCAGCTAAAATAATGTTTTTCGGAATAATAAAACCAAAAGATGGTATGATGGCATGTTTTACTTGTAACTTACAAGAAGAGGTTACAAAGTATGCGTTGGAAACATAAAACCTGTAAATTTTGCTTTCTATGAGTCACAATCAGCGATTTGCTGATCGCTGAGTGAGTGAGTGAGTTTGTGAAAAATCGCTGATTGTGACTCTCATGAAGTGAAATAAACAGGTTTAATATGTCAAACACATTCTTTGCAACCTCTTCTTGTATCCTACCAATTCAAAATTTGATCATGGCATCTAATTATTTCATAATTTAGAAAAACATTGTTTTAGCTGAAATGAGTCTTTGCAACCTTGCTAATCACCGTAAATTCTTGAAAAAACGCAGAGGCTTCCTGTGTGCTGAAAAATTATAATTCTCACGTATCAACCAAATAAGGTGTAGTGAGCGGTAATGAGACTGCAATTATCGTTTGTTGTGTTATATTCAATCGTTTTTGTTGTTCCCACATACATCGTTAATTAATTTTCCAATTCGGTTGCTTCTGGTGGTAAAATATTACGCATATTCCTAATTTTTTTTATTTCTATAAAGTGTCCATACTACCCGCTAGCTATACAATGGCAATGTAATGTAAAAAAAATTCAAATTGTTTTTTAAGAAGAAAAAAGTTATTTTTTTAAATTGCTTCAATGTGCAACCACAAACGAAGTTAACTTGTTACCTTTATTCAGGGTGTCGACTACCAGGAAAAACTTGGAAAATCAGGGAATTCATTTTTGGACCTTTAAAATCAGGGAATTTAATTGAAACACAGGGAAATATTTCTCAATCACAGAAGTATGTAAAACTTTGCTAGTTCAAACAACTTAATTACTCGGTGTCGTTTGAGGATGCTTTAAAATTTTAAATAGAGTTGCGAATTTGTGGTTGCTCAATGCTTGATGTGGCATGTTTGGAAGTTGAGCTAAGGGTATTTTAATTATTTTGCGCCTAATATAAATTCAGCTCCTACTGGGTTTTAACACATTCCTGAGTTAAACTGAGATTCTGAGGGTTGATAAACAAAATCTATATCCGTAGACACTAGACGTTGTTATTTGTTGCAAAATATATCCTCCAAATGGGTTTGTGCGTCTCTTTGATGGTACGACTGACTCTAGATCTACGTCTGACGTAGATCCTTTGGGCACATTGGATCGCTTTTTAACATATTCAAGACTGGTCAAAAGTTAAGAGAAGAAGACGATTTTTTTTCTGATCACTTGTAGTTCTTGTTCCTTGTTGTCTTCTTAACAGCATGACTAGCTCAGATAATAAACTATTTACGATAATAGCCGTGGAATAGCACTTTTATGATTATTAAAGAAACGTAGACTAACATTGCCTCGATAGCATAGAGTGGCGCTATTCAGTATTCTAGTTCTTCATTGGAAGCTTGGAAAATTATCTTCTCAATGAAGTATTGCAATTAATTATATGATTTGAGTAGTAGCTACACTGAAGATCCGAGAGATGTCGCCCCTTCAGTGGTAGGAAAATCATTTTTGCAGTATGGAGAATATCAGAAAATCCACGTTTTGTGACTAAACATGCTTTTACAGAAGGAAACAAATAAACGAGTGTTTACCTTATCACCATAGTAATGTACTCGTGCAATTTTTGTGCATCTAAAACTACCCATAAAGACGATAATGAATAAAAACTGAAAATTTTCATGCATTTCCAAATTGTTTTACTACCATTCCCATACATTCGAAGTGACTGGCCCTCTGGATGTGGATGATGTCAAAAACAACAAAACATGATTAATTAAGTATATGATTTGAGTAGTAGCTATTCTGAAGATCCGAGAGATGTCGCCCCTTCAGTGGTAGGAAAATCATTTGTGCAGTATGGAGAATATCAGAAAATCCACGATTTGTGAATAAACATGCTTTCACAGAAAGAAACAAATAAACGAGTGTTTACCTTATCACCATAGTAATGTACTCGTGCAATTTTAGTGCATCTTAAACTGCTCATAAAAGTAATAATAAATAAAAACTGAAAATTTTCATGCATTTCCAAATAGTTTCCTACCATTCCCATACATTCGAAAGTGACTGGCCCTCTGGATGTGGATGATGTCAAAAACAACAAAACATGATTAATTGCGATAAAATTAGGCTACTGAATTTCGGAGGTGAAAGCGTTGTTTTTACGATTTCCCAACATAGGAATCTGCCCGTGAATTAGCGTATTGTTAAGTGTATTATCCGGAATAATTTTCTTGTGGAGCTGGGTCTCAAATTGTACTCAAGGGAGAAAATTATAAAGGGATTAAAGACAAGTGTTTCATATGCAAGATGTAGGAGAATTGTATAAATTTTTGCCCCTAGTGTTGATTGAAAAAGTTCACGATATTTCACCAAGTTCAGCAAGGGAAAAGTTCGCGAGTCATAGGGAGTTTTGGTGAATGTTTTCAACAATGCTTCTAAGGGTGAGAAAATCGCCATACCAAGGAGCTCTTCTCATATCATGAAGTTAATCGAGCAAATTTGCTGCAAACTTTAAGCGATAATAATAAATGTTTGTAGATGTAAATGAAGATGGTTGCAGTTTCCTTCACACATCACTATTTATCATGAATTGAACTGATTCCCTGGCGCTTACAATATGTTTATTTAGAAAAATGCGGTGCCTTCCTTATTTTGGCAACACGCGTTTTCTCTTTTTTGCATCCTATAAAATGTATCGAACGCTTTACACTCAGGTCTTTTTTTACACGGGGGATACGGTCCGTGTAAAAAAAAACCTACGAGATTTTGATTTTTCGCATGCTTAAATGTTTTAAAAAAATCGGATTTTGATGCCATTTGTAATTAAAGCATGATATGGTCCATATAGACATATTTTAAAAAATTCTGTATTTACACCAAAAATTGTGATTTTTTTTAAAGTATGCCATTCGATTACAAATAGCTTGAAACGGATAATGTGATTGGAATCAAGTCGATAGGTTGTATCGTTGTCGAGAAATCGTTAAAAACGTACCGTGAAAATCGTGGAAAACCGTGTAAAAAAACCGTGTAAAAAAAACGGGTAAAAAAAACCGTGTAAAAAAAGACTTCAGTGTATTCAATTTTGGATTGTACTCCTCCTTGGACCCCTCTTCATTGGTTAGAGATCCATGTGGTATTTCATGAAAAAATGTCCAGAAAGCACTACCCAACTAATAATTTTGGCTGCAGACTAGCTAATACAGTCAAAAATTTCCTTATGTAGATAATCACCCCTATTCTGTATTTCGTTTCGAACGAAATTCTCATACAAAAAAATATTTTTTTGTATGAGAATTTCGTTCGAAACGAAATACAGAATAGGGGTGAATGTGTGCCTGTATAGGCTGGTCTGCAGCTAGCTTCTTCATTGATTCATCACTCTGTTATTGTAAGAGGCATGGATTTCAACCTCTACGCTAAGTTCGTCCCTCGTCCAAAAGAAAACAGACCTTTTGAAAAAAAAACAATCAAGCATTCTACTTCATTCCATTAACTGACCTCAGTTGGACCTACTAAAAATCATCTCTGATCTACCCGTTTCAAACTTATTGACCATGGGACCTGAAATAAGAAAATCAATTCAGCACAAATATCAGAAGAAATTCCTCTTGATCTAGTTTCAGTATGCCTAGTAATCAGGCTTTATAAGAAAACTCTAAGCATGAGAAGAGCTCAGAAGATTTGTCTGCAAAGTACGATGGATGTTGTTGCTAATTGTCTATTCTCGAATTACTAATATATTTCTCTTTAAGGGTCGAGAGACGCATTCAGAACATATTATTTAGCGAGTTGATCCTGACGGTGTTTATGGACAATGCTACCATAGAGGTAACTCTAAGACCAGAAGGTCCCGTAGAAACGAGCTCTACTTTTCGGCTCAGCTCTGGTACTATCTTCGGTCCCAAACTAATCGAGGCACCCCTCGAAACATAGGAAAATCCACGAACGCCTCATTTTATCTGTCAAACTTTCATAGCGAATCAAAACAAACAAAAAAAAACTAGAATTTCGACTACAATGGGGTACGTTAGCCAATTTGCTTGGGACCAATAGGCTAGTCAAGTAGTGAGCAAATTTCATATCGATAGTTTCGTATTGATTGTTGATAGTACGGTGAAAGAGGAAATGTTTCACCAAACCCGAGTGTCTGTTCACATTTTCAATACTTTTAATTACATTTATTACGGATAGATACACTGGAGTCGCTTTTTACGTGGTTTTTTACACAGTTTTTTTACGCGGATTTCTGAATTTACGCGGTTTTTTTTACGCGGATTCCGGAATTTACGCGGTTTTTTTTCCGCGGGACGTATCACCTGCGTAAAAAGCGACTCCAGTGTAATTTTAATTACCGTCAGTACTACCAACAATCAATACGAAACTAATGATTTTAAATTGGCTCACTGCTTGACTAGCCAAAAAATTCAACACGTTTGATCGAAGTGTTTAAACACTAGATTTTTTAAATGCACAATCACATTTACTTTAAGTGTATTTCACCTTGGTTCAATGTGTTATACACGTTAATTTATAGTGTTTCAAACTTTGAAATGTTGAAAATCTTTCACTATCTATTCAAGTGAATTGCACATTTGCACATTGAATCACACTACTGTTCAAAACAGATGGATTTAAAGTGTTTTGCATTTCAATGCGATATGAATTGCTTGCTCAGAAAGGTAAACATCGAAAACAAGACTTGTGATTTTATCCTATCAACCCGCCTCATATATAAGAACAACAGTGGCACAGTGAGATCGAACGAAGACTCCGGCAGCAGCACACCAAAAGATATGTGAAAGCTCTGGCCTCTGGTTTACTTGAACATAATTTTAGCAAAACCTAAATTTTACCAAATTTAACATAAATTTAATTTATTTTTAGCATAACTTTAACTTTAAGATAGCATTAACTTACGTATAACACAACTTTAACTTAAGTTTAACATAACTTTAACTTCAAAATTACTTTAACTTAGCTTTAACTTACCTTTAACATAACTTTAACTTACCTCTAACAAAACTTTCACTTACCTTTAAATTACCTTTAAATTAACTTTAACATAACTTTAACTTAAGTTTAACATAACTTTATCTTTCCTTTAAAATAACTATAACATAACTTTTTCTCTTACATAACTTTAACTTAACTTTAAACTTACTTTAACATAAATTTCACAAAACTTTAACTTAACTTTTACTCTACCTTAACATAAGTTAAACTTAATTATAACTTAACTTTAACTTTAACATAACTTGAACTTTATTTTAACAAACTCTTATCTTAATTTTAGCTCTCATTTAATTTTAGCTTAACTTTAACATAACTTTTACTTTAACATAACTTTAACTTTAACATAACTTTAACTTTAAAATAACTTTAACTTTAACTTCAAAATAACTTTTACTTTAACATCACTTTTATACTTAATGAATGATTCAAAAAAACTTAACATTATCATAAAATCAACTTAACTTTAACTTTATAATAACTTTAATTTTAACATAACTTATACTCTAGTTTGAATAAACCTTAACTTAACATAATTGAACTAAACATGAACTTAAATTGTGCTCAACTTTAACTCAATTTTAACTTAACTTGAACGTTACTTTAATTTTAAATTAATTATAACTTAACATTATCATAACTTTAAATTTAACATAACTTTAACCTAACTTTAACTAAACTTTAACTAAACTGCAACATAACCTTAACTTAATCTTTACTTAACTTGAAATTTTAACTTAAATTTAACATGAATTTAACTTAACTTTAACCTAACATATACTTAACATATCTTTAACTTAACTTTAGCTCTAACTAAACTTTAACATAACCTCAACGTAATTTTAACTTAAATTTAACATAACTTTAACCTAACATTAACTGAAGCTTAACTTAACTTAAGCATAAACATAACTCTAACTTAATTTTAACATAACTTAATTTTAACTTCGCATTCACATAGCTTAAACTTAACATTAACTTTAACATAACATAACTTTAAATTAACTTTAACTTATCTTTAAGATAACTTTAACATAACGTTAACATAACTTAACTTTAACTTAACTTTAACTTAACTTGAACATAACTTTAACTTTAACACAACTTTAATTTTAAATTAATGATAACTTAACATTATCATAACTTTAACTTAACTTTAACATAAATTTAATTTAAATTTAACGTTAACATAACTTATACCTAAATTTGAATAAACTTCTACTTAACATATTTTTAACTTACCGTTAACTTAACATTAACTTAAATTTTACTTAACTTTAACTTAACGTTAACTTAACTTCAACATAACTTTAACTTAACTTTATCTTACACATAACTTTAACTTTACTTTATCTTAACTTAAACATAGCTTTAACTTAACATAACCTTAACTTAACTCTAACTTACCTTTAACGTAACTTTAACTAAATTTTAACTTTTACTTTAACATAAGTTTATCTTACCATCAACATAACTTTTATTTTAACATAATTTTAACTTAAATTTAGTTGTTACATACTTAATTTAACTTAACTTTAAATTTTACTTAACTATAATAAAACTTTAACTTAAACATAAACATCGAGATCCGGCATCGGAATGCGTTGCATCAGTAAGGATGCTTAACTCAGCCGGATTCCTCCTGCGGATCAATTTTGGAAAATAGTTACATCAAAATTGATCCGTTGGAGGAATCCGGATGAGTTAATCATCCTTGTTGATGCTTTGCATCAGTCAATTAAATCCGCCGGATTCCTCCAGCGGATCAATTTTTGGAAAAAAAAATACATCAAAATTGATCCGCTGGAGGAATCCTGATGAGTTAAACATCCTTACAATAAGGATGCTTAACTCAGCCAGATTCCTCCAGCGGTCAATTTAAAAAAAAAAATAATTACACTTAATAACAAATTGTTCAATACTTACCTCTATTCCCGAACACCTCCGGAATTATTGGAAGCAGCCGGCTGAAAAAAAAAACAATTACAAAATAATCAAAATTTTGGATCTGTTTGTTAGAATTTGTAATTATTTTTCAAAATTGATCCGCTGGAGGAATCCGGATGAGTTAAGGTTCAATTTACTTTGATGCTTTTTGGAAAATTTCAAAAGCAGTTTTTTTCCGACGGATTGTTTCAGATTGTAAAAAGCTCACACTATTCGATTCCTTTTGAAATTTTACACAAAATGACGCGAGCTTTTTGCAATCTAAACTAATGCGCCGAAAAAAACTGCTTTTGAAATTTTCCAAAAAGCATCAAAGTAAATTGAACCTTAAACATCCTTGTTGATGCGTTGCATCAGCAAGGATGCTTAACTCAGCCGGATTCCTCCAGCGGATCAATTTTGAAAAATAGTAACATCAAAATTGATCCGTTGGAGGAATCCGGATGAGTTAATCATCCTTGTTGATGCTTTGCATCAGTCAATGAAATCCGTCGGATTCCTCCAGCGGATCAATTTTTGGAAAAAAGACATCAAAATTGATCCGCTGGAGGAATCCGGATGAGTTAAACATCCTTATTGATGCGTTGCATCAGTAAGGATGCTTAACTAAGTCAGATTCCTCCAGCGGATCAATTTTTAAAAATAATTACACTTAATAACAAACTGTTTAACACCTACCTCTATTCAATTTCCGTATCCGTCCCTTAATCCGGAATTATTGGAAGCAGCCGGCTGAAAAAAAAAATACAAATTAATCAAAATTTTGGATGTTTGTTAGAATTTTGTAATTATTTTTCAAAATTGATCCACTGGAGGAATCCTGATGAGTTAAACATCCTTACAATAAGGATGCTTAACTCAGTCAGATTCATCCAGCGGATCAATTAAAAAAAATTACACTTAATAACAAACTGTTCAATACTTACTCAGCTTACCTCTATTCAATTTCCGAACACCTCCGGAATTATTGGAAGCAGCCGGCTGAAAAAAAAAAACAATTACAAAATAATCAAAATTTTGGAAACAGATCCAATTATTAGAATTTGTAATTATTTTTCAAAATTGATCCGCTGGAGGAATCCGGATGAGTTAAACATCCTTGTTGATGCGTTGCATCAGCAAGGATGCTTATCTCAACCGGATCAATTTTTGAAAATAATTACATCAAAATTGACCCGCTTGAGAAATCCGGATGAGATAACTAATGCAACGCATCAATTTTTTAAATTACAAATAATAACACTAAATATAACAAATATTTGAATACTTACTGTTAAAGTTGCTAATTTCCTTCGCGGCTCGGGTGAAGGAATTTGCGGTGCGCTCCGTGCACTCAGCCATCTTGTCTAGTTTGTTTATAAACAAACCAGACAAGATGGCTGAGCGCACGACAAAAAAAAATACACCAATTTAAAAACGTCAGTCTTTAAGTCGCCCAATGTCAAATGACGTCACTTTGTCGCCGGCAATTCGTGTGTAAAGCCCTACAGTAAAAGTATGGACGTCTGTCAAAAGTTGTTCCAATCGAACCGTCAAAATGCACCGCTTTCTCGATTGGAACAGCTTTTTTCAGTTTTGTGGTGTCAGTCGTCCATACTTTTACTGTAGGGCTTTATTCGTGTGGGGTGCTGTATTCTTACACGGTAAGAAAAAAGTACCCAACGGCCAGTTCACTTTTACCTACTTTTGACTAGTTTGTCTCCTTTTCTCCTTCTAATGTTGTCAAAAACGGAGGAGCAAAACCACCCAACAGGGGTAGTAACGTGTGGGAACCCAACGTTGAGTATAATAATATTTACCTACTGTTGGGTACAACTAACTTACTTTTGCGTTGAAAGCTAGTGGAAAATTCCATACGAATTGCACACAAGTAAATGAAAACTACTTTGACCCGCTTTACCTATTTTTGGGTTCCTGCACTATAGTGCCGAGATGAGTGAAAAGAACTTACTTTTGGGTACTTTTTTCTAACCGTGTACACGGATGCGGTATACACGCTAACTTGAAAGTACTCATTAATGAGTAAAAAAAAGACCCATTTTGAAGAAAAGTGGTTTGACTCATTGATGATTAAACAATTTTACCCATTAATGAGTATCTGTTACCCATTAATGATTAACAATTACTCATTAATGGGTAACAGATACTCATTAATGGGTAAAAAATTTACTCATTTAATGAGTTAAGCCACTTTTCTTCAAAATGGGTCTTTTTCAACCATTAATGGGTACTTTCAAGTTAGCGTGTACAGCACACTATGGCCGACGTTATGTTTAACGTACAGAACAAGAGTAAAATCGGTTTTCAATTGAAACGATAATAATCAATTAAAACACTAATTAACTCTTGCACTGTAACGTCACCAGGGCATTGTTTTACATACAAATAAACATTGCCCACAGGGCATGCCAAAACTTCTTTCAGTGATTTGAGGCTATGTCAGTCGTGCAAGAGTTAATGGTGGAAAGCTCTACCTTGTAATCGCAATGTGCTATTTTATATGGTTGCGTCGAGGATTGCGTCGAGGATCGCGCATTGGGCACATTTATGAGATTATGAATGCGGAAACACTAATAAAAGTGCGGTTTTACGTTAAATTGTTGTTGTGTCTTCATCGCACATGATGAAGTTTGATTCTGATGTAACGTTAGGTTCTGATGTCATTGGATGTATTCTGATGTTTTATGCGTGCAACAAATTACATCGTGATGAAGTTTGATTCTAATGTAACGTTAGGTTCTGTTGTCATTGGATGTATTCTGATGTTTTATGCGTGCAACAAATTACATCGTGATGAAGTTTGATTCTAATGTAACGTTAGGTTCTGTTGTCATTGGATGTATTCTGATGTTTTATGAGTGCAACATATTACATCGTGATGAAGTTTGATTCTAATGTAACGTTAGGTTCTGTTGTCGTTGGATGTATTCTGATGTCAAATTTTACATCGTCAAGACGTTTGATTCTGATGTAACGTTTGAGGCTAATGTATTTTTATGTACTTGGACGTCACACTGAAGTCTGAATACATTAAGGGTACAGCAATATACGTTAAAATTTAATGTATTGAAGATGTCTGCTGATGTTTCCTACATTACAATTTCTATTCGGGTGTCAATCGATGCTCCTGCTATTACACTATATACTGTCCAAATATAGGATCACATCCAAGTTTTAAATTTATTTACCAGTCAAATTACTTTTTGACGTAATCACCTTCTGATCAAAATATTTTACGACGTTACTTAAGTCACCCGATTTCTATGAAGATGCGGTTTGTCTTAAGTAACAGCGCTGAGAAACCCGTGAAAAGTGTACGTTCGTCGTTTCGCTTTCTCATTATTAAAGTGAGTAAATCTAACTGTTTGTTGCTAAGATGATTTCAGTGGTCCTAAAATGATGAATGGGCTGCACGTAAGGTGACGTGATTGATAATTCTCCCGAATATCCTGGTAAATACACGTTGACTTAAGTTACATTATGGGGCCACCAAAGGACGTATAATAACTTTTGTCCCCAAATCCAGTTTTTTTAGCATGAAAGCTAACGATCTGCTTTGTATGATTAAACCCCTGCTTAATATGTTAAACATTGCTATCACTATGAGATTATATGAGTTTAATTGGAAATAGGAATAACTTTTCAGTCATCAAAACAAAACTTTATTTTTATCGGATCGGTGTGGATGTTACTTTCGACATAATGAAACTTATCTCTTGCAATTTTACCTCTTCACCACTTCAATTTACATGGAAATGATGTTAGGTTATTGTTTTAACTGATGAATTGTGATGTGATGTGATCGTTGATTACATAGAAATACATAGAATCAAGGGGAATTATATTCATTAAGGTATCTTGATTGCCAAATTTAAGTATTTATTGGTGCTATCGTGAGTGGGTGTTCAGTGAGATTCCTTACCTTAGATCTAAAACGTTCAAAGTTTTACAAACAGATGGCCATACTGAAAAAATCAACTTTGTAAGGTTCCACCCACTGGAATCATGTTTGCATAGAACGTACCACCCTGATTGTTCGCTCACATACACATGTACATGTTGACGGCGCGATGAAACTGCAAACAAAAATAATTTCAACATAATCAATGTTATTCATTATTACAGTATCAATGTAATGGTAATCGGACCATAAATTCAAGAACAATGTACCGCCATCAAGAATAATAACGCCATGACTGCATAAAGTTTTGATTGAAGATTGGGGATATGTATGTGAAAGCTCAAAGCCACATGGTTGATTACAATTTAAAGGGTTATTACCACTATAGCAATTCTAATAAAGGATAAATCTAGACCAACAATTGAAATAGGCGGAACAACCAAACGTAAACAATGGCTTTAAACGCAAATTTCTCGATAATCAAACCATTCCCACGCAAACTAACTATGCCATTCAATAAAAGAAGTTTGTTCTATCAGATAGTGGTGTTAAATTGCTTCGATGTGTTTTGATTATCGAGGAATTTGCGTTTAAAGCCATTGTTTACGTTTGGTTGTTCCGCCTATTTCAATTGTTGGTCTAGAAATATAACCGACAAAAAACGACACTAAAATATTATCTTGATTGCTTTTGGTAACATACCACTACCAACTTACCTTGCTCACGTGTTCCGCCAAGCTCACTCGGTTTTGACATATAATACATATGCAAAGTAAAAGGCGCGCCCCCAGAATTCAGCGACAGCGAAGCATAAATCATAAAGCATAGAAGCTGACGCCAAAGCAAAACAAAATCCGCCCGAAATCATCCGATGCATGAGCCGATGTGGATGACGTCATTCAGTCGGCTTTCACGAAAATCGAGAGTATAGTCTGTTATTGTCTGCTTGGGTCTATTGTAGTGCAAGTGCTGCAAACTGAAGCCAGACACCCGCACGACGGTTGACGGATCGGAGTTAAATATTTTGAGTCAGTTTCCCAACACCGGAACAGGACAGATCAGAAAGTTGTGCAGTAGCAGGACAATTTTAGAACTCACAAAACCATAGTAGGCATTAATTTCATCAGTGCAGAAAATATACATATTATGGATCAGCGAAAAAAAATCCCATTTCGTCCATCACATATCAGCCGGGCCAATAGTTAGATTTCGATGTTATTTGTACAATAATTGCCTTAAGTTTGCTTGTGGGGTTGGCAGACGGCTTTTTGTGTCGTGTTGAGCGTATTTTGTGTGAACTGTAAAGAATTACGCACATACTGCGTTTCTTTTGAGTATTGCGGAATACAATACATCTACTCAAAACGACATTGTGAACTTGGGCCGGAGTAGTATTTAAAGGTAAGTAGTTAGTACAAATTTCAGAAAATGAAATCTACATTTTTACATGTTACGAAACAAGTGTTTTAGGAATGCTTCAATATTGCTACGAAAATCGATATGTACCAACATTGCATAAGACTGAATGTATGCTCAATACTGATAGCATAACATAAACTCGGGTATGTGTATACGTAGCAATGTTTTGATTTACGGAACCTTACAACATTCATAGGCAGACCGGGCAAATATGTATTGGAGGCAGTTTGAAGCTCACATATACCACATGCGCACACCATTCACTGAAATTGCTTTACACATAGTACAGAACTATGGTTCATGGTGGTCACTAAAAGCTGAGGATTCTGTCTGCAACTGTCACAACTGCATTACAGAGACGTACCGTTGTTTGTAGATGAAGTTTCAACCGGTATTTCTTTTTCTCAATTCCTGCTGCCTGATCTTTGATAGTAAGAATAGTGACCGTAAATGGTACTTATGGTGTACTGGTAAGCGTGACTGCCTCTCACTCCAAAGGGCCTGGGTAAAATCTCGGATCACGCCTTCCTTCGGAAGGGAAGTACACCCGTTGTTCCCCGGTCCACGAGTTGATGGGTACAGGTGTGGCGTCGGTAGCATTGGTACCAGTCAAGATCAACGGAAAACAAATCAAGGGAAATTTCAATACCCGAACCCGATAAATTGAAACCTATTTTACCCGACCCGAACCCGATCGGTTAAATTTTATAAAACCTGTACCCGACAAATCATAAATCTCAATACCCGTCCGTACCCGACACGAACTGAAATTTTCGAAATGCTATTCAAAAATTAAAACTATTTAACATCATATTTATTTTCGAGTTATCGTTCGTATTCAGTATTTTTCAAATAAAGGAGTGATTATGAGAGTAAACATTAATTACCGATAGGCCAAAAAAGCTTATTCGTGTGAACGAATGTCAATGTACTCAAAGTTCCCGGTGAGAGGTTTGTTCTTCTAGCGTCTAATGTTGCTCCTCACTGAAAAAGTTCGCTCATCCGAAGTAGAGGAAGCTCGAATAGCAAGTAACCACAAATCAAGCTTTGAGATACGCGGATAGGTTTCACTGTGGAATCAATATTTTTTCGACTGGGTAAGATGCAAATAATATTACCCGAACCCGACATGTTCGTTTATTTTGTTACCCAACCGGAAACCGACATATTTTTTTTTAGGTACCCGTACCCGAAAATTTATTATTTTGAATACCCGTACCCGACCCGAACCCGTAGGGTACGGGTCGGGTTTCGGGTAAAAATACCCGTACCCGATCATCTCTAGTCTGAAGTATACAAATAACGTTGCTGTTGTTTCCACAGTCCTTTTGTTGCTAAGTAGGTCTCGTCTCTCCGGTAATCGAAAAATTGTGGTCGCTGTTCCTGGCTTTCGATTGCTTGTTCTCACTTCTCACTTCTTCATCGAGCACCCCAATCGCTTCCACTCCGGTTACCACCCCTGCATACGTACTATTATCCAAACTGCTACCACTCTGGGTGCTTCCGAGCCGGAAGAATTTCATCCGGTGCCTCTCCACCTTACATAAAAAACACGTGTTTTTGTTCCTACCATACAATATATTCCCTTTCCGATTTAGGAAATGCAGCGAGGTGAGAATTTTCTATTTCACATCAATATATACACCACGTACTCCAGTACGAGCACCAGTGGACATGTCGAAGCGCAGCTCTTATGGGAAATTCTTCCGAATGACACGTTTAACTTTAGCGTATTTCCCCAGCATCAACGCTAAGTCTCTGTTGTGAACTTCAGGTGGCATATCATACACTCGTATCATACATATTGAACGTTAACCCCCGCATGCGACATGCTTACCTCGACTGTCTTTCCATCAGCATAATGGAAAATTAATTATTCAGGGTCATGCAGCAATGCATAGCGCATAGATTCTTCAGACTTGAACTTTACGAAAAGTGCTTTCCTCTCCGCAATCCGGTAAATTGCTTCCATCTGAACGGGATTTGCAATGCTTTTACAAAAACATGGTGGATGTCACACTTCCACTGTAAAATCTGAACTTTATGGTATTCTTTATTTCAACTCATCAAATTTTTGCTTTCAACGGCAACCACAAAGCTACCGAGCTGCAGACAAACAACAAAAGCGCACCGAACAATAACTTAATCGAGTAAAAAAACTATCGATAGTGTGATCGACACCGTCAACAGCTCAAAGCAAGCGACTAAAGCTTGGAAATGTTAAACTGAGTTTTTTTTTTCAAAATCACAGACATAGGAAAAAATTAAAGATCCATGACATGAAAAAAAAAATCTACCACATACGTTTTCTCCGGCGTGAATTTGGTACCCTTGGTGCGGATGAACCAATGTCGTGAGGCGAAATTTTCGGATTGAAAATTGAGATTTCTGTAAAACAGCGCTGGATATGGTTCCATTCCTTTCCAAAACCAATATTTCTAGCTAGCTAGAATCAGGCTCAAAATTTTTAATAGCGCCTGTGGAAAATAAGTGTGGCAAATCGACTCCAAATACAGTTCATATCACGAATGACTAAATATCAAACTGTCCACAGCCACAAAATACCAACAAAAAAATGGTTCATCACAGTACTATCATAGAGATAACTCTAAGACTAGAAGGTCCCGAAATAACGTGCTCAACTTTTTGGCTCAGCTCTGGTACTATCTTCGGTCCCAAGCTAATCGATTCACCCCTCGAAACATAGGAAAAACCAATAATCCCTCATTTTATCTGTCAAAATTTCATAGCGAATCAAAACAAACATTGCGTAGTACTAGAATTTCGACTAGAATGGGGTACGTTAATCGTTTGCTTGGGACCAATAGGCTAGTCAAGTAGTGAGCCAATTTAAAATCGTTAGTTTCGTATTGATTGTTGGTACTATTCCTTCCACCAATCCGTCGAATGCAAGGAAAGGTATCAATCAACAATACGTGAAAAGTGATCATTGCAGAAATGCAGATAACGTCAAGATTTCAGCTACGCCATATGATGATTCACCAACATATGACAATGACAACACTAAATGTATGTTCTAGAATTGGGTAATCTATACCAGCCCTTCGGACCCTAAACTATTTTGGCTGGTGTTTTCATAGTTTCCATTTCTATTTTAATGCGGTTTATTTATAAAAATGTCTATAATAGAATGATCAATGGCCAAATTTTTAGTTGAACATGTTTGGAATACTGACAGAATAATGGCCTTCAGATGTTTTTGTTGAAAATAAACGAAGTTCCCGGTGTTATGACCATGTAGAACCACCATCGACTGATGCATAAAAGGATGAGCAATGCATGCTCGACTTCGTATGCTTTTTCTGCTGGAGAGATTCGAGTTAAGTGTGTGCGTCGTTCTACAATGTTCTACAATGTGCGTCGTTCTACAAGCTTACAGGTACCTTGTATAGTCGAAAGCGTAGATGCAACACGAAATAAAAATGCTCGACTTCGTATGCTTTTTCTGCTGGAGAGATTCGAGACAAGTGTGTGCGTCGTTCTACAATGTTCTACAATGTGCGTCGTTCTACAAGCTTACTGGTATAGTCGAAAGCGTAGATGGAACACGAAATAAAAAAAGACAAAAAACCATTACATCGCCTGCATGGTCAATTGCTAACATTCGTTGCGATGTTCATGAACAGAGGATGATAGGAACTGGAACTAACATTCATTGTAATAGATTTTTGGTTTGCGTGTACAAAACGGATGATTTGAATCCAATTGACTTTCCTCAACAAAATTATTTAAAACCCCTGCCAAACAATGCTCTAAGAAGTGACCCTCGAAGTGACCTTAACACTAAAAATAATCACCCCTATTCTGTATTTCGTTTCGAACGAAATTCTCATACAAAAAAATATTTTTTTGTATGAGAATTTCGTTCGAAACGAAATACAGAATAGGGGTGAATATGTTGACCCTGAAATTGCAACTAAGGGGCTGTTCATAAACTACGTAGTTATTTGGGGGGGGGAGGTTGGCAATTTTCCACGACCCATACAAATTTTAAAAATTTGGTATGGTCGATTGTTTACCCAGGGGGAGGGGGTGGGGTTTAATAATCTCAAAAAAACTGTCTACGTGACAGCCCCTAACGGGTGATAACTAAAAAATGAGAAAAGCTTCAACTCTCTCATACCAAACATAGAGGTAACTAGACGGTCCCGAAGAAACGTGCTAAACTTTTTGGCTCAACTCTGGTACTCTCTTCGGTCCCAAGCTAATCGAAACATAGAAAAACATAGGAAAATCCACGAACCCCTCATTTTATCTGTCAAAGTTTCATAGCGAATCAAAACAAACATAGTGTAGTACTGGAATTTATACTAGAATGGGATACGTTAATCGATTTGCTTGGGACCAATAGGCTAGTCAAGTAGTAAGCCAATTTAAAATCGTTAGTTTCGAATTGATTGTTGGTATAAGTGTCTGGATTTCGAGCCTTTACAGTAAACAAAGGCAAGAAAGTTTGTAGTTTTCATGAAAAGTTTCTTGAAAATTGTCCGTAGCACTCATGAAGGTAATAATTCATTTGTATTCGGCCTATGACTATGTCCATTGACTACGTCCATGAACCATTTTACACAGCAAAAAGTTTGAAATATTTATCAGCGTAATGTTTGCTGATGTTTCGAATATTGATGTTACAATAACAAAAAACAGATACAATCCCGACCAACCATTTCGTTAAATTTCTTTAATTTTCGATATATCGTTGAAGATCGACATTCATATGAAAAATCGATAGCGATCGTCACCATTTAATGAATAAATGTAAAGATGCTAAAAGCCTGATCGTGAATCATTTATAAACATCTTTATCAAAATGTTGCTACTAATCATTACCTATGTAAAAATATCGATTCGTGTTGCCAGATCAAAATATCGATTTCTCTTGTCAGATCAAAATAACAATACACGGTACTGATATTTTTGGATTTTTTTTTATCTGCATAATTGCTAGTTTCAATCCCGTG